GATGTCACGTCCCTGGCGAAGAACGTCCGCTTTTTGGTCATGCACGGCGTCGCTGATGACAATGTGCACATGCAGAACACACTTACTCTGCTCGACCGACTGGATCTTGCAGGTATCGAGAACTACGACGTCCATGTGTTCCCGGATTCGGATCATAGCATCTACTTTCACAACGCGAACCGAATCGTCTATGACAGTAAGTACACGGTTTTGTCAGGATTGCGAGGAAGTTACTAACGGAGCTTTAGAACTCAAGTGGTGGCTTGTGAATGCTTTCAACGGCGAGTGGTCGAGGATTACAAATGCAGTGCCCAAGACACAAGACGATGCGCGGTCAGTAGTACGGTAGGATGTGCATATTTCAGCTCTCGCATGCACATTTTGGTGTGTATGAACTGCTTAGGCGTTGGATGGCGCAGGACATCGTTATCGCCTTGCAATGAAACTTTCTGTTATTTAACCAACAATGCGAGCATTGTGTTACTCTGCAGTGTGAAGGTCAAAGCTCGCGACAAACCTTCGCACATACATGATCTCGTACTTGTTAATTCATCACTTATGAGCACCAGAGCAAAGCTGTGGAACATGCTTAGCACAGGCCCGCAATTGCACATTACCTTGTGCCTACTTGACTATCGTGACTTGGCTACCACAGGCCTCGTTTACTTCACGTTGCGTAAGCAGAGGCGTTTGTCAGCCCGAAAGTGGCTGGATTCCGAGGAACTGTCATCAGCTGCTCATTCCCCTCTTGGACCCCACTTTTGGAAGTTACAATACATCACACACCGTAGACATGACAGCATCTTCGCCTGCCTTCTTGCCTGTATCGCTTCAATTGATTCCAGACTTGACATTTAACTGTATCTGATCTTCAAGATGAGCTTTGAGCCTAGCAATTTAGCAATTTGCGAAACATGCGGTACGCAATTTGATGTTCCACTTGAGCAGCACCCAGAGACATGTCGGATCTGCGATGTACGTCCATCACCAAACCCAAACTGCAGTCGAAAAGTCTGAAGAGTAAGTGATTTAACTCATCCTCAGGATCCTCGCCAGTACGTTCCCGCCAGCGGCCAATCCTGGACCTCACTCTCATCTACCCAACCCCTCCAGAAGAACACTTTCGAAACCGACAAGCAAGACTCACGAATCCACTACATAACCACTGCACCTTTGTCCCCTTCTGAATTACCCCCTGGTCTCGCCGACTCCAGCACCACCCGCAAGCAACTGGGTATTGGACAACGCGCCATCTTACTCCAGACATCCGGTGGAAACATTCTTTGGGATTGCGTCGCATTCTTGAACCCCGATACGATTAATTACATCAAGGAAAAAGGCGGTTTGAAGGCGATTGTGATTAGCCATCCACATTTCTTTACGACTCACTTGGAGTGGGCGAACGTGTTTGGATGTCCGGTATATCTATGTGGGGATGATGAGATGTGGTTGAATCGTAAAGATAAGGATGGTGTGAGGAGGTTGGTTAGAGGGGTTACCGAGATCGAAGAGATTGGAGGCGAGGCTAAGATGATTCAGTGCGGGGGTCATTTTAATGGTAGTTCGGTGCTGTGGTGGGACAAGAAGTTGTTTATTGCTGATACGTTCATGAGTGTGCCTGTTAGTTCCCCTTCTATTCTGTCTAGCTGCGTCATGTGGCTTTGGTAAGATTTCATGAGCTAACTGGGAGAATAGTCTGGCTTCAACAACGCACACCGCGTACCAGATACAACATCGTATTCGTTCATGTGGGCGTATCCTAATATGATTCCGCTGACGCCAAAGGCGATTCACGGGATCTGGAAGGCGATCAAGCCATTCGAGTTTGATAGCACGTATGGAGGATTTCCGGGGCAGAATCTAAAGAGGCCAGACTTGAAGAAGCAGGTATTGGAAAGTATGAAGATATTCTTGAAGAGGAGCGGACATGAGAATGTGGGAATCTTTAAAGAGAGTGTTTGAGAAGTACTACGGGGAACAGTGATGTAGGGGACTGTGAGACTTGCCATGTCTTGTGGCCCTTAGTTGTGGCGTAGCGAGTAAATGCGACAGGACAAAGTAAAAGAAACACAGAGCTTGTATTCAAGGAACCAACCACCATCATTTCTACCACTGGTTTATCATAACACCGTCTAATGCATAATATGGAGAACCACTGTACAATCGTAATACCGTTCAAGAAGAAAGAGCGCCCACGACGTCAAGATCCACATACAGGCTCTGCCAAGTACATGGTACCTATGCGAGAGAGCCCTCGAGAACCCAGATCTCGCCATTGGAGACTTTGTCGGCTATGCTTGTGACCACGACGTCGGCTGGTTGGATCTGAAGTTGCAAGTTAGCTAAAAACTCATTAAGGTTGAAGTAAGCGAAAGAATTAGTGATGGTGAGCAAAAATAGGAGGCAGTGTGTACGGCACAGTCCCAGAGCCTGTTCTAGGCCGATATATTGGCAAAAAAAGAACCTGGGGTATCTGACTGAAGCCAGACGAATGCTGATGAGAGTGGGACTCGAACCCACGCCACTTTCGTGACCAGGAATATGTGTTAAGATAACCTTAACCTGGCGCCATAACCAACTCGGCCATCTCACCGTAACACAGTTAAATGTGATTGGTTGATTGATGGGTATTGTTGGATTTGCAACGCTGATATTTGTGATTGTGTGGGCGGAAAACGAAAGGGCCCGGCGCACTGAAAGGTGGGGCGTGGGCATGTCCAACGAGATGCTGAGACTACCAACATAGCGGCGTAGCTTACCTTCTTTTGGCCGTCCTTGGACTCCCACCAGATCTCGTTTCCGGAAAGTGTCTTGACCTTCTTGCCCTCTTCCCACGGACTCTCTGGTATGATGTGCCGCTGTACGAAGCGCTCGAGGTTGCCCCGCGCGCGATCTTGCCCGCCGGTGCCTTCGTATGCGTCCGCGCCAAAGGTGCTATAGTCCTCGGGGTCTTCCCAAGGCTTTCTCTTCAGATCGCGCATGATGCTGTTGTTCGGTGCCAGCACCGTGGCGTTCTGCGAGGCGTTGTCTAGTCGTCCAGAGACTGTGTCGATGTCCCTGGTCAGGCCGCTGAAGATGGCGATGTTCTGTGTCTTGCCGATAACATCGGATATGATGACACCAGTCGACACTTGTTCCTCAGGGTTGCCCATAATGTAGTCTCGAAGGGGCGACTGTTCGCTGATGATGTTGAACGACTGGATGATGCTCTCAAAGGGGCGGGCTTGCGCAGACGTGGCAAGGAGGAGGGAGATGGCTGCGAAAGGGTATGCGACGACAGATCCGGGCTTCATGATCGCTCAAGGCTGTGCATTAGGATGTCGTTACAGGTTCTGGGTGAACGCGGCGTTGGAAGGTGGGAAGCACAGACGTCATGCCGCGGTGAAGCCAAGACCTCGTGATCGCGCGCATGATCGTCGGGCGCCTTCTGAGCTTGGAAACCCTTTCTTCTAGTCCTCACTCATGTCTTCACCAACGTGATATACCGCGCCTCGGAGCGCGCGCTTATCCCTGCCGCTCTACAAACCAAACACTAGCCATGGAGCTCCAAATTCCCACCGTCACTGTTGTGAGTGCAACAGCCTGGAGTCTGCACTCCAGAAAGTAGCAATTTGCTAACGTAGCCTAGGACGATTTACGCGCCTTCCATACACAACACTTTCCACACGCGCCGGCTCCAGAACACGTCTTGCACGGCTTTGAGCCAGAAGCAGAGGCGGCCGAAGAGTACTTCGACGAAGCAGACGATGGGTTAGGCTACTACCCTGACGGCACGAAGCGCACCCTGACAGACGAGCAAATTGCCATGTTCCGACATTCGGAAATTCATGCTATGCTCCGCAAACGGCGGCTACAGAAAGAGAACGGCGAAGTCTCCGATGGCAAGGCTGTCTCTGCGAGTCCAGCACCACCTTGTCCTCCAACACAAGAGGACTCACACAAGCCCGCAGATGTTGACAACACACAGCCTGATAAACCTTCAGGGTCGAAGAAACAACAGTGGGCGACTACGAGCGCAACGACCAAAGCTAAGAACAAGAGAAAACGAGATAGATATGCGAAGAGGAGAAAAGAAATAAGGCTGGAGAGAGGCTTGCCGCGAAGAAGAAGTGGCCGTGATGGCGCTGACAGCGGTGACAGCGACGATGGGAGCGACGAATGGGATGCATGGCATCAGGCTAATGGGCCTGATGTGCAGAAAGACGACACCCTCGATCTCGACTACTGAAAAGGGCAACCACTACAACGTATTGGCAACCCACGACAAAGGCAACGTCCCTTCCTGCCGTCCCTGCTAGCTGGCAACAGATATCACACCCTCAGCCGACCTGAACTGTAAGTACTTTGTTCTCTTCATTTTCATGTGCAATGATGCAATCTTAGTTATCATCCTTAGGCGGAGGTGGTGCTGGGCTTGAGACGAGAGTAAAGACTGCTTGCGGCCTGATCCCTTGACTCGTCTAGCACCATCTATGATGAGTTTACAATCTTCTCTCTGAGCACATTCGTTCTTGCTGCAGTCATTATAGCCCGATCGTGTACCTGTACTGACTGTCACTAGAGGTATCTTCATGAAATATTGACAACGATTTCTACCGGGAGGCAGTATGAGGCGCGCGTCGGTAAGAGGCAGTTATTGCTATATGATGGCAATGATGAACTCTTAACACCTTGTTGACGTGAGTTTTCTGTCGGCAGTCTTTGGGATCAATGCCTACCCTGTTCCGTGAGCCTCGCGTCCGGTTGGAGGCAATACTGTGTTGATCAAGTAGCAACCCGTATGTAGTAATTCACATTACTCTAGTCATCTGTTCTCACCCGTCTCCAATCCCGTGTCCGCGTGCTTGCCTCCTCGCTCACCGAACGCACGGCCTCACGCTAGTCAGGCGTGATTTCCATGATACGATTAACTGCTCTTTCCTTTCCTTTACCTTGAGTATCAATCTTCGAACATCATCTCACATTGTTTGAACAACACCACGCTCAGATCGTCAGTCGCCATGGCGCCCCGCAAGACCACCGCTGGCGACAAGATCCCGAAAGCAAAGAAAGCATCCATTATCAAAAAGAGCGAAGACAAGGTTATCAAGCGGCCCGCCCGCGGATATCACAAATTTCGGAATGGTCTGCTGAATGTCGCGCCCAAAGGTGATGAGAAGGAACTGTGGGCATACCCAACATCCTAGTATGGGCAACAGCTAACGTACCGTCAGCACCAAGCAGAATCGTACCTCTCCACTTCTACGACTACCGCCTGAGATTCGCAATATCATCTGGAAACTTGTAGGGAAGCTTCGCTGTACGAATCGTATCTGAGACATACACTGACTTCCTACGTCGATGTTAGGTGTTAGGCGGAAATGTATATCGCACGTGGTTGTGTGGCCGCCTTGAGTCTCCATCGCCAGAGCCGAAGAACGTCATGGCGCTTCTGCGCACCTGTCGCCAGGTGTATGCAGAAGCTGCACTCATGCCGCTCACGCTTACCATATTCACGACCGATTATATTCCGTACGCAGCAAGGGATCTGAGGAAGCTGAAGCCACAACAACGCAGATTGATCACGTTCTTTCAGATGGTTATTTCTCATCCCAACAGCATAAGTTATCACTACCTGAAATACGGCTTGAACCTTGCAAAATTACTCCCTTGCCTCCAAGATCTGCATATTCGAGTGTTCGAGGTCTTAGATACATCAACTCAAAAGGTCAACGAGGAGCGGATACGTAAGCATCTCGAGCCAGGTCTTCATGAAAAGCCGATCACTATAAAGATTGAACAGACCGATAAGAAGTGGATCAACGTCAATGATGCATAAGATGGTGAGTAAGACGACGATAATCCGCAATCCTCTTTTGGACATGTACTGACAAATTTATGGCCACACAGGTCTCTTCCGTGAAGTGGACGGCACCTTGAAATTCCTTGTTCTTTCCATTCAACAAGTGACCGGGGTGGTCGCGAGGACCTAAGGTCTCAATCCGTATGATTGGAAAAACAATGCATATGTCAGGCTATGCTGGGGTGCGGGTTTATAAGCTTCTGATTCTGATTCTGATACATAGCTTAGAGATGTAAATCAAATACTCTGCTTAACATTCTCGTTCTAAAAGCACATCTAACTAACTTACGATCGAACTCTCTTTCAAGTTATCCCTGCCATTAAACATGTACTATAAATTCGTACTTATCGATATGTGTTACCGCTTCGACAGGAAAGTGAAAGTATATACCTTCGGGGTAAATTATAGTGTTTAGTAGTACAACTCGGTGGCCACTCACCTCCTTCCTCTTACCTTGTCTGAATCACCTCTCAGGGTCCAGTCGGACTTTTACTTGGTAACTGAGCCAAGGTATCTTTGTATTTATCAGCTCAGCTTCCTCGATTTCGTCAGTCATTTAATCACATCTTCCAGAACCATTGACGATATCATAATGGCACCTCGCAAGCTTTACCTCGAGAACCAGAAAGCCTCTACCAAAGGCACAAAGGCCTTTATCGACGCGGGAGTAGTGAAGCGCCGGCACAAGAAGGTTCGCTTTCACGAGAATGGGCTAATCAACGTTGAACGAAAAACTGGAAAGTACTTTAAGATGTGAGTAACTGAGTCAAGGTGTGGTTGACACTTCTTGCTAATTTCAATGCAGCGCGAGAGAAAACCAACAGGATTCACCATTGCTACGCCTCCCACCAGAGCTGCGTTGCTTGGTCTTCGAATATGCGCTTGGTGGCAACACATATATGATCAGATACCACCGGACAAGCAAGGCAGTAAAGAACACAACAGTAGCAAAGCATGCTCTCGCTTTGCTCTCCGTCTGCCGTCAAATCTTTGCCGAAACTGCTCTCCTGTCATTCAGCTTGAACACGTTCTCGGTCTTTCACCCTGTGGTATTCAACATGTGGATCAAGAGCTTTCACCCAGCTTTTGCCGAAGTTGTCACTTCCGTACGCATCGACACGCTAGCCCTGTGGTACAAAACGCATTACAATAAGCATCGAGCTCAATACATTCCTCTTGGCAATTCCAATATACAGTTATCTTCTATGCTCACCTCGCTCAAGGTCATACAAATTGCTTTTATTGTCAAAGCTACGTCCATGGAAGATACAAATGTGATGGAGGAGCTAAACAAGCAGGGGGAAGAAATCAGAGGTTTCTACGAGTTGGCGAATGGCGGTATCAAAGTCAATTTGACCCGAATAATCGAGTAGTATAGTTCCTTCAAGATTTGGTAATCCAAGCTGCCAAGTTCGGTTCTACTAAGAGTGGTTGATGGTAACAAGCGGGCGTTGCGGGAGGAGAAGCAGGATTGGCGTCATGGACTATTTGTTAAAGAACCAGGTATGGAGAGAACAGAAACCTCCACGCAGCTTAATTGTGTATGTCCCTTCTAATACCTACTTCTCTTAGCAGTTTCGCGTACACCCAAATGGAAATGGCAAGACCGCGGGACTCTTGTAACCTCCCTTGCCTACACTTCTTACTCCAAAGATGACATTATCCTTGTGGATTGTCGCAGAAGTAAGATTGAACCAGTTCACGTTGCCCACCTCAATCACGTTTGTCCAATGCGGCTCGATAGTGTCGCGATACAAGATTTCGTATCCTTCTACCGGCAAGCCCTTCGGCGCGTCCCACTTGAATTGACTGAAGTTATCGGATGTTGTGGTATTGATACCAACATTGGTCGGCTCTCCAGGTGCGTTGGCTAGACTCCACATCGTGGACGCTACGACTTTAGCAGCGCGGGTGTTGTACTCGAAGTCCAGCCATTCGACTAGGTCACCATATTGCTTGCCATTGCGTACAGTGACATTTTGACTAGATATGGGTGTATGAAGTCAGAAAATGTCTCACATATAGTTCAGGTACGTAAACTTACTGCTGCTGTGTGTAGTCTTCGTTAGGTTGAACGAATCGGACACCTGTGTATCCTGCTTCTAGGAAAGGGCGATGGTCGCCGCCCCTGCTGTAGCGATCCAGACGGTATATAAGGCGGACTGTCATCTCAGTGAAGGCGTTGGAGGCTACTTCATATATGAAGCGACCTAGGTTGCGAGCAGGGCTGTCATTGTCACCACCAATGCTGAGACGGGAGGTAGTTGTTGTAGAGTTCTCTGTCAGAGGTGTGCCCTGGCAGAAGAGGCGGATGTTGTAAGGATCGACAGTACCGTCTGCGGCCTTAGAGTTACCAACCATATCGAGGTTTATCATACCAGCTACATTCACCGATGCATTCTTGTAAGTTTGCGCCAGATTCTCCGCGCCGAGCAAACCCTGCTCCTCTCCCGCAAAGGCTGTGAATACAATGGTGGTCTTGGGCTTGTAATGCGCAAAGATGCGAGCAAGCTCTAGGGAGACCGCAACTCCCGAAGCATCGTCTACAGCACCTGGAGCATCGCCCTGGTAGTCGATAGGATCGCTGTTGCGCGAGTCATAATGCCCGCCTGTCACGTAGACACGATCTGGGTCCTCGCTGCCTTTTAATGTTGCTACTACTGTTGTAATATTAACCGGGAAGATGATGCGTTCGTTGTCCCCAGGGTATTTGATGAAGCTACAGAGGTGAAGATAAGAAGTTAGTACATGTCTCACATGCATTCTGTACAGGCACAAATACCTGTTCCAGTCCACAGTCATTCTTCCTTCGCTCGCATCAGCGGCTTCTTGGAACTGAGCTGTAAGCCATGTTCTCGCAGCGCCGATACCTCGGACCGGATCGGTTTGACTTGACAGGGTATGACGCGTGCCGAATGAGGCAAGTTTTCGGATTGTGCCCTCGATGTTGTCGCGTGATATCTGCGAAATAATGTCTTGAAGGTCTTCATCCGGCATTTGTTGCTCCAATGGCTTTCCGACGACTGGTAGGGGCCATTGTTCCGTACTAGGGAATGATTTATGAGGATGATGGACGTGGATTGGTGACGAGAAAGCAGTTTTTAGCAGTGCCGCTGTGCAGACTGCGAAGATGGGCGTGGACCGCATATTGGTTGGACTGGGATATTGACCTCAATTATAGATGTCATCTTGCCAAACGTTAAACTACAACTTATACTTCAACGCTTTTGCCATCCCACTCTTCACGACAGGCAGGCAGTCGACTGCCGGTATCTCCAAAACATTGCGATACCGCAGCAGCTACCGTCACCGGAGTAATGCAACTCTTGCTATCATGGCTCTTGACAGCGCAGATCATGATCATAAACGGAAGCTCGAAATGTTACCAAGACGCCAAAAGGAGCATTAGGGAAGACTTCAGCAGCTGTTGCTGCATGCTATGCTTGGCAACGGGTACCGTGTGCGGGGTTCTCCATTGAGCTTCCGAACGTTTGCGACGACGTGCGATAACACCAGTTTTCTCCCAAACCAGAAGACTATTAGTAACGTGAAAATGACTTCGCACGATTTGCAACTTGTTATTGGCTGGTTTCGTGATGGCGCTGGCAGTGCTGGTGTCATTTATTCGTCAAGGAACCAGATGCCTGGAAGTGTCGTTCAGCTTTACCCAGCCATCAACGTTCGTTAGCCTTAGTGCCAGTCTAGGCAGATAGAAGTGTATTCCATCCTTGAATGCACGGGTTTCCAGAACTCGAGTTCGTTTAACACCTATCAAAGAGGCTGGTGTTGGTGCTTGGCATGACATCATCGCATTGACATGGGAAGCCACCAAATTGCAACAATGCGACCTGGGGACAGTGACATGCCACTAACACAATTGTATGCAGCAATGTCTTGTCGTCGAACATACATGCAAGCCACAAGAGGCGGCTGAAGTTCGGCGCTGTATCGAAGTTTTCTCACTGATCGACGCTTCATAGCGCCGCTACAGGCTTGACAGCCTCGGCATAACGAATCGTATCGTCGATGGTTCTCACGTTGCGCAGCGTTGGCTGTAATCATGTTCTCTATTCGTCCTGGAAACACCATGTTCAACCCCACGTGTTTCATAAGCAGCCGGCGGTACCTGGGGTTCACTAACGTGAAGAAGAAGGTCGCGGAGAAACCAACCAGAAGTAGGAGTCCGCAATAAAGGGCCGATGCATCGCGCTGCATGTCATTTAAAGCGTCGGGGGGAAACTGGACGACCACTGGTCAACGTGAATGGATCACTTGTAGTCATTGGGTGTCAATGGCGGTAAACAGGAACCATCAAGGTCAACGACGCGGAGGAGAAGGTCGAAATGGTAGAAAGAGATGTATGGGTAAGGTCTGGTGACAATTAATGCCAATGTGCTTACAAGAGACGATGCACTAGCGCAAAGAACAGTACTGTTGTGGTAATGACCATGTTCGTTATGCATTGGGAGTGTGGTGGCTCGGGATACAAAAGGTTGAACACTGCACCTATTCTTGATGAACCATCGCTATTAGTTTTTGCGGAATTCCTTCGTTTCTTCCCATCAAGCACTGATAACCTTTCACCATGAAGACTAGCGCTCGTTCCCTCCTCGCTCTTGCTGCCCTTCTCACCACCGCCCTTGCTGCGCCGACACCAGCGAACGGAGTGAGCTTCCCTATCACCGACCTCCTCGACAAGGACCTTACTGTTGAGGAGTATGCGGCACAGCTTGAGAACCAGAGTGTTGAAGAGCGTGGCCTTACCAGGCGCCAGTACAATGGTGACACTTACAACCAACTGACCGATGGTACTGCATGCCGTCCGATTACCGTCATTTACGCTCGTGGCACCACCCAAGGTACGTTGGATCTATAAAAAAAACGAACATAAGACATGTGCTGATTTCGATTGCGTAGCCGGCAACGTTGGCGAGGCTGGCTCAGAAGGTCCAACTTTCTTCAATGCTCTGGCTTCTCGTGTTGGAGGAATCAGCCGCTTGGCCATCCAGGGTGTGAATTATCCGGCTAACGTCGTTGGCTTCCTGGCTGGAGGAGATGCTGCAGGAGCTACGACTATGTTCAACTTGATCAACCAAGTGAGTGCTGCGATCACCACGCTCACATTTGTAGCGATGCTGACCTGGCATCTAGGCTGCCACTCGTTGCCCTTCAACCAAGATCGTTGTCTCCGGATACTCTCAGGGCGCACAGCTTGTACACACTGCTACCCAGAGGCTATCAGCTGCCCAAGCCGCGCGTGTCACCGCTGTTGTAACATTCGGCGATGCCGACCGTGACGAGACCTTTGGCCCTGTTGCCGCAAACAAGGTTCTCATCATCTGCCATGAGGGTGATAACATCTGCGACAACGGTATTATCATCACCCCCGAGCACAGGAACTACGAGATCGATGCTCCTACGGCTGCGGCTTTCGTTGCCGCACGTGTTTGAGGCCGACAGTGACTAAGCCTGGATGCAGAATAATTTTTGGTTAATTTAATGGTTACGACGACCCATGCCGCGCACTGCTTGACCAAGATCTCCTAAATTTTCCTTGCTCTTCTTTCTAATACATGTGGAACACAAGTAAAGTACACCATGAACGACGAGAACGTAGGTGCACGAATTGCAATTCAGGAAAGTGGGAAAAGTCACCTTGACTAGTACGTGATATTCAGAATTGCGTCTTTTCCCACTGCAAGCTTCTCTGAATCCCGTCCACAGGCCATTTTGTAGTACTGACTGGAAGTTATTGTCAAAACCCGCCTCTACTTTGGCATCAACGACTGCTACTCGACCTGGGCTAGGGACTTCAAAACGATCGCTATATAAGAAGACGGGACACTCTAGTTGACGTTAGTGTCAAGTGGCAGAACAGTGAAGAAAGATTCAGGCTGGCGAAACTGAAGATACATGTGTATAACGACAAAGCTACAATCAGATTTGGATTGATGGGCAGATATACGCTTTGTTATGTAAGGCGCATGCTGTCGAGCTTTTGCACCTTCCCGTTCGACGACTTGGAGAATTTTCAATTCCTACATCCTTAAGCGATCCCAACATAACGTGCTTCCCGTGTCTCATGTCGAAACGACGCATATATCCCAACTTTCGCGGATAAGCATCGCAAACCGACGAAAGCCGCGCTAAACTTGGCAAGCCACACGAAAAGTCGAGTGAAGTCATACCCCAAAGGGTGGAGGCCGGGCACGCATGGAGCGCAGAACGGCGCGCGAGTCAGTTAGCGCAGATGTCGTGCTCGCCCCATAGAAAACACCAAACGTCTCGATTGCCTCAACCTCCATCGCTAAGGGGAAAAAATTGGGTAACAAGCTTGCCAAGGATCGCGGTGTCGTCCGAACTCTTAAGATATGTAGTCTCCACGTTGAACTGAGGCTCTTCACCTCATCCCGTCTTTTCTCCCCTACTCCTTTTCCGCGTCATCATGTCGTCCACCTCCTTGTCTGAGCCCTCGGACTCGCTCAAGGCTTCTGGGCCATTCTTCCGCTCGGTGCCTTTCCAAATCTTGGTAGCATGTGGTGTCTCGTTCACGGCCCCGGGTATGTGGGATGCTCTTGGTGGGCTAGGAGCTGGAGGAGCTGCTGAACCCTACGCTGTCTCCGCTGCCAACGCCCTGGTATATGGACTCTTTGCTGTGGTCTGTGTTGCTGCAGGAGCTATCAACAACCGGATCGGCTTGAAGTATGGTCTTGCACTGGGTGCCATTGGATATCCACTATATGGCGCAGGACTCTACACCAACAATGTCTCTGCGAACACATGGTTCATGTTGTTTGGCAGCGCTCTTTGCGGTATCTCCGCTGGTTTCTTCTGGGCTGCTGAGGCTGCTATCATCATCGGATACCCGTCTCCTGGAGACCGCGCGTTTTACCTCGCTATCTGGCAGACCGCCAAGGCACTTGGACCGATCGTAGGAGGAGCCATCAATCTTGGATTGAACGCAAACAAGAAGACCACCGGATCCGTTTCCTCGACGACATACATTGTCTTCATTGTCATCATGTGTCTTGGTCTTCCGGTCGCTCTGTGCTTATCACCAGCACACAAAGTTTGGCGAAGAGACGGCACACGGATCGTCACTGAGCGCGCCGCAACGTGGGGTGCTGAGTTCAAGGCTGTTGGCAAGCTGTTCGTTAGCCGCCGGATCTTGCTCTTGCTACCAGCTTTCTTCATTAGCTACTTCTACAACGGCTTCATGAGCACATGGTTGACAACATACTTCACGGTCCGAGCTCGCGCGTTCTCCTCGTTCTTCACCAACTTTGCCGGTATCTTCTCCTCGTTCATCATCGCCTTCCTACTCGACAATCAGAAGATTCACATCAAGACGCGTGGCCGCATTGCCTTCTGTTGCATTATCACCCTCTTGGTTGGTACATGGATCTGGGCTACAATCCTGCAAAAACAGAATTACGATGCATCAGAGTCTCCAGTATTTGATTGGTTCCAAGGCGGCTTTGGAAAGAGCTATGCGCTTGTTTTCTTCTGGCAATTCGGTGGTCAGGCTTTCCAGCAATTTCTCTATTGGTTGGTTGGCCAGTATGCGACGGACCTTTCTAACTTGAGCCATCTTACCGGTATTCTGAGAGGTGTGGAAGCGTTGGGTCAAACTGTTGCTTGGGCGTAAGTCTTCTTTTTCTTGAACAGCATTCACGCATCATCGGCTAACAATCGTAACAGTATGCAATCAGAAGGTGGTGCGAACCACTTCGTCAGCATTGGTATCAACTTCGGCATCACAGTGTTGTGCGTCTTCCCTACCTGGGTCGTATTGTCAGAACTGGAGGGGAGCCACGAAGTCCGTGTTACAGAGGAGATAGCAAAAGACAAGACTCTGAGCGATACAGCTTGATGTGTTGAGGCACTGAGCAGAAATATATTACTTATATCCTTCACGTCAATCGTACTAATACTTGTTATCTGTATACCACACTCGCCAACTCTTTCCGCTGTACGGAAAGATCGGCGACATTGAC